CATTATTGTGAGCAAATGCCAAGACCGTTTTAATTGATTTTAAACCTTAAAAAATTTAATGTTAAGATTAATCCTTATCATTTATAATAAAAAACTCTTTATTTTTATTTTAATAAATTCTTTCGATTACAAAATAATTCTGCATTACTTAATTGTAGAATTTGAAAGATTTCTACACCATTAAAATTTGAAGACAACTATATAAACAAAATACAATATACAATCACAATCTCATTTTTTCATGAATAAATATATAATCTATGCAATATAAATTTGCAGAAATAGATAGACAAGACAAAATGAGTCTAAGGAAGAAAGTCATCACAATTCAAGATTATTTTGTAATCTCAAAGCATGAACATTACTAATGTCTTGTGTTTTTGTAGAAATGTTGGATCAACAACACATTATATTATATGAACAATTCTTCCTTGATCACCTTTCAAGATGCCATTCATGTGATTTAACAAAAACAATCATCAGGCTACTGCTAAGCGTTCAAAATTTGACTGACATCCGAGAGTGAAGCAAGAAGAAGAAAAGAAACAGGAATTGATACTTTTGAAGAAGGTTTAGCCTAAATCTACAAATGGTTAATTTGATAGGTAAAATTTTCAACCCAACTCTTGTATGAACGTTGATTTTTCTTCTTTTGTTCTCTTCCTTTTTTCACTGAAATACTTTGAATTTGTCTAATAAAAAAGTGATAATATTTTAAGAAAGTATTGATATTGAGGACTTTTACATAAGATTAGAAAGATACAAAAAGAAAATGTATAGAGTACTGAATGAGAGAAAGAAAAATAAAAAGAAACATAGAGTGATGAGAAAAATAGAGATATCAAATAAAAGAAGAAGAAAAAGGCTTCATATATATAATATTGCCAAAATTAAAGTTTAATGTATAAAGAATAATTTATTTATTTTGTTCCATATATAGTTCTTAATATGTTCCATATATAGTTTCCCTAAATTTATATGTTGTTTCATATATGTTGGGTATATAGCAACAGTTAATGGGAAATGGAGGGAAGATGAAAAGAGAGGAACTTGAAAAGTTGGGAATTTGAAAAGTCCTTTTATGCTTTAGTAAAAAGACATTTCTCCCTCATCGGTGGTGGAAAGAAAAATAGAAGAGTTTAAATAGAGAAACACTTCTATTAATTGTTAAAAGGGTTGGAAAGAGGGACCCCCCTCGTGCCGTCGTCGTCGCTCGCTCGGCTCGGCTCGACTTCGGCTTAGGAAAATGATCGAGAGATTATATTTTGGACAAAGTTTTGTTTTAATTATTTCTTTAATTAATTAATTAAATAAAATTCAATGGCCAGAACGTTTCAATTAATTAGTTAATTAACCGAAACGTTCCGACCCTACTCGAATCCGTGTGACCCATTTTATTTAAATGACTTTCCCATTTTATTTAAATTTCCCGCCGTTGGAGATGACTATTCAGAAAGGTTGCAACTTTCAGGAACAACCATGACTGTTTGAAAGGTTGCAAACTTTCCGAAATGGTCGTGTGGTTTCTGAAAGGTTGCAACCTTTCGGAACCAGTTCCTCTTGGCTATAAATACCAGTTATTCTTCAGACTTTTTACTTACGAAAATTTCTGATTTCTTCTTCTTCTTCTGCACAAATATTTTTCTTGTACTTTACTGTCGTTGAGTGGCTCGCTGACACCAGCGTTTTGGGTATCAATACACTGGTGATTGAGATCATTCTATCCTGGGAGGACATATTCCAAATCAAACCTCGGATACTAGAGAGGAATAATTTCCTTAAGGGGACACTGTGCATTCAGTGGGCTTGATCTTTTCCCGTTCTGTCTTTTCCAGATTCTGGTATGTTTTACAGATTTTAATTTTTGTGAATTAATTTATGTTCTTCTGTTCTTCACTGGTTCATTGAAAACTTTGGTAACTTCGTGTTTCTGCAAAGTTTTTGGTAATCAGTATTACTGTTTTTTTTAAAACACAAATTGGCAACAATATATAAGTCTTAATATGTTTATATATATATATATAGTAGGAGATATTATTTAAAAAGATAAACAAAAAGAGAGATGGTTATTAATTTTAATTCATTATAAGGAGAAAAAGAAAGAAAATGACTTCAGTTTTTAGAGTAAAATTTGGAGATATAGGTTGTAATTAAGGAAAGCACAAAATTAATGTGTTAAGAAAAAGAAAAAAGAAACTAAAATGAAAAAGAAAGGCATAAACAAAAGAAAAAAAAGACTACCGAAAATTTGAAAATTTGATTGTATTAATTCCTTTTTATTCTATTTCATTTTTTAGTTTATTTCAGGTTATATAAAATCCATACAAAAGAAAACATACTTTATATATAACATTATATAACAAAATAAATAAAAGATATGATTGAGTACATGTAAAAAATATTAGTAAAGATTTAAAGACTAAAATTTAAAGACATTGTACTTCACAAATTAATTAATACTATGTATAGTATTTATATAAAAAGAAATTATAAATGAGAATATTTATATTTGTAATTCTTGGATAATTTGATGAATACATTCATTTTGTTATCATACGAATTTTATTTAGTAAATTCATTGATGTTTATAATTTGTATAAAATTTGTTTATGGAAGAGTGATGTAGTACCTTTTATAGGAAAAATAAAAATGATATTTTTAGTTTATTTTATTGGTAATTTTGTCTTCGTTATTACCATTTTTTCGTTTTCATTTTGTAATTTATGAGTTTTTTTTGTTCGATACCTATATTGAAGTTCGAATAATTCGAATTCAAGTATTGTAGAGCCCATATATATTTTTCTTTTAAAAAATTGTAAGCAAAATGTTTATGTAGGTGTAAAGATGTAAGTTTATTCACATATTTATTGTTCATATGGATATAGATTCTATAGCAAATAATTAAAAAAGGAACTAGAGGTAAACATAATAAAAATCCTCATACACTATATATTTCATAATATATCTTTGAAATAATTCACATTTACTAATTCACTCAAATATATATATTGTTTAAAGGTTATTTTATTTTCATAAAAAAGAGGATATACTAAATTTAAATATATATTTTACACCGCATGAAGCGCGGATAAATTCACTAGTATAACTAATACATAGAATATTCTATAGTATTTAAATTAATCAAACCAAACTAATTGACTACAAAGAAATTAAGGTATATAAACTGCTCTACACTAGCTAGGCTTAATTAAGCAGCGTTGTATTGTACATTATGGACAAGGACCATGTAAAAACTTAATTGTGTTGTATTTCTTTTCTTGTGGTCAAAGTTGTGTTAATTAACAAACTTTAATTAACATATTGTATTACAAAGTTACATCTAATGTGATGTTTGGACAAAATAACAAATAGTAGGCTGATGCCCGTGATAATTTTCTTTTCCTTATTTGAATTAATTGCACAAGATATACAAAGATTATCCGTTCAAACAATCCAGACTTGGATGTCACATGTAAGATTATATACTTTAATACACATTAGGATCTTTAACACGATAATCTTACATAGAGATCGTCAGGGGCACATACCTGATGCGGAAGACATCATCACAAAGAAAAGTGGAAACATTAGTCGTAAATTAGTTTCTACCTCCTTATCCTAGCCTTACATTACCACAACCGTCAGCGATGAAACCAGTGTAGATAATATGTGGTAACCCTAATGGGTGTAGGGATAACCAATTTATAGCCATTATGACTTAATCCGGTACGTTCATCAAGTAACCCATGTACGAACAAGATATATTCTTCATTAAATATTATTTATGGAATTATTTGGATCACAAGTAAACTTGGGCCATAAGTAAGAATTATTCTTACATATAAATCCTACCGGATTTGATTTGTCTGCATTGTCTATAAGGTATTCTTTGAATTTGCAGTTTGAATTTCGATCAAAATATTGCAAATAGGCCTCAACTAATCTCAAATTTAAAATAAAGCTTCCAAACACAAATACAATCAATCCCAATCACCAATTTAATCAAATAACACCAAATCAAGAAGACCCACGTTGTATTCTTCATCATTTTCTAAGGATCAATAATTGAGTTTTGAGATTTTCAAAGAAAAATCATTAGATCAATGTTTGAACTTAAATTTAAGCATTAATAATTAACATCAAAACGATTTAAATAATAATAGATGTTCGTATTTGAAATTTACTATGTGCATGATATTAATGATGAATATCATAAATATTTTAATATTTTATTATAACATAATATATTTGTTATAAAATATTGTTACGTAATTCTTGAGTATGACTATTATAGAAGAGTAATTTTACCAAAAATGTACAACTCTAATGAATGTCATTGTTATTATAAGTAGAGTGCTGTTATATAGAAATAAAATCTAACATGAAAAATACATTTTGAAGAAAAGTAGACCGTTGTAGTGAAATGCTATTATAAAGAACAATCGTTATAGAGAATTTTACCTGTATAAGGTAAGATGAGAAAAATATAATATATTCAAACTATTTATTAATTAAAATAACTTAGTACAATATATTACAAATCATGCCCAGGGACGGAGCTATATGGGGCCGAGGGAAACCCCCTTCATCGAAAATTAACGATATATCTTGTTTTTCATATTTTTGTAGTTTCAATTATTATTTTTTTCTAAATAAATGTAAGTTCTATGTTGTCGTTTTGTTTGCAAACTTGATTGAGATTTACATAATTTAAATCTGTAATTACAAGATTAAAAGATAGAATAACTTTATCTATGTGTAAATATGATTTGTTAACTTCCTATCTTTTATTGTTCACGTTGAGATAGAGTTAAAGTTTATCTAATTTTAATCAACTTGTTCATATTTGATTCAACCCACTTATTTATGGATACTATTACTATTTTTTTTGAAACCCTTGGTGAAAATCCTTACCATGCCTTTCCTTGCAATTTCGTTAGAAATATGAGGGTTTGATGAATGATTGAAAAATCTTTGAAAACAAGTTAGGAATTTGCATCAAAATTAGAATTGGACTTTTCTTTAAACCAAACAAGGCAGCTACCGTGTATTGATTTTGCACTTTTTCCTCTTTAGCATTGTTCGTCACATTTGTTCTGACTTCTCTCTCTTTTGTCGCCCACCATACATATATTCTTTACTTCTCCTCTCCATTTGCTTCTTCCTTCTTCACTTTTCAACTATTCTTACCATTCTCTAAATGCGAAGAAAATGCAATGTCCCAGCAACTCCTTTCGCTACAATGCTACACAATGCGAGTGCAACCCTGGTTACTTGTTTAACTTCACAAGTAGAATATGTTACTTGTTTGATGAATGGGGTCCTGTGGAAAGTGATTCTGGGGTTGATTATAGATCTTTATCGTTTCCTGGAAGTGGTGCCCTTTTCGATTTTGATTCAATTAGGAGGTTAACTCAATCGCAAGCTGTCTTTCTTGAAGCTACACTTATTATGTTGCTTTCTTGGCTTTGTTTCTGTTTTTTTGCTCGTTGTGCTCCGCTTGGTGATGGACGTTCTATTTGGTTCAAGATCCGATGGTGGATTAGTCGACTTGATATCTGCTTTGCATCCCGCCACTGGCTTGTATGATTTCTATCTCTTTCTTTGTTAGTTTTGTTTTTAGGATGGAATTGTATGGTTAATTTTACTTATTATTTCATGATTAGTAGATTTGTGAGGCATAATTTGTACTGAAAGTTAATTGGGTTTTTTAACAGAGCTAGTTGGACATAGATTTGAAAGTCAAGTTTTGATTTTTCTTACTGAATTTACTAAAAGTTGCGGAAAATTTATGGAATGTTTTGAGTTTTGGGAAGCCATATGTGACAACCAGTTTTGGAAAAGAAGGAACATATATTTTGGGTTATTAACAGGTTTTGAGCATGTACAGTTGTCTGGTATGGTTTATGTTGAGTGGATATGAAGATTCAAAAGAAGACCTACAAAAGTAGGTTGATAGGAAGAGCCCTCTTTGTTTATTATAGTTTTATACCTTGCTTCTTGGACTTGTAAGACACGCCACATAACTCTAATTTGTCAACATCCATTTAAAACAAAGATTTTAATGACAAATAGGACCTTGATTTAGATTTAAGACTAAGCAAGAAGAAGGATATTTTCTTGTTGAATGAACTCACCTTCCAGTTCTGGTGTCATAAATGCTAGCTTCTTGTTGCTTCAATAATGAGTTTTAACTGTCATATATTATATTCTGCGTTATTGCTTTTTCAATGTGATCTCCCAATTGGTGGTTCTCAGAAATTTGTGGAAGTAAACAAAGTCTGGAGGTGAATCATTTATTTGAGTGACTATCAGGGACGCTGTGGTTGGTTTTGTTGAGTATGACACAAAATGATTTTCTATAATAGTTACGTAGTTCTTAGTTGCAAGAATTATATTGGATATTTTGCTTCTGTTCCATGGAACTGAAAGGAAAACTGGGAATATGATAAATGGATAAAGTGCAAGATGGCACAAGCGAAAGTTATCCTTAGCACCCTGTAGCCTAAGTAAGATATTTTCACTTCCAACCCCTAATGAGTGCTTAAAAAGAAAAGGGAATTAAGTTCAGATTGCCTTCCTATCCATAATAAAAACTTGAAAGAGGAAAAAACAAAAAGAGACAGAAAACCATCATAAATCCCTTGCTAAAGCTGCCTCTAAAGTATGACGCAAACTTGAGCTAATAAAAGGGAGGTGGAGATAATGGAAAAGGGCAAGAATCTATATTTTAAAAGCTTCTTAATGTTGGTTTTCTTCAATAAAGCCCTGCTTACTTACCAAAGAGAACTGTCAAAAAACAAAAAAGAGGTTGATGCAGAAGTATAAGTATGATGAGTCTTTCTTCTATTCGTTTGTTTATTCAAATTATTTGCCATACCCATTTTTAGGCTTGTAATGATTGAATTTTTGCGGGTAAATGTTGCTTCCTGCTTTCTCAAGGTGATGTATCGAAGTTATTCTGTATAGAATTTTCTAGAGGTATTCCACTATTTTGATATTAATGATGGAATTGATGATCTTATAGTCAAGAGCTGAAATAGTACCACCAGTTAATATCCAGGGGTAGTTTGAGAATTACCTCTTCCATTCTCTCAAGACACTTGATTGAGTGCTTGAATATCGTTGCATTCTCCTGGGATGCTCATTTGTAGTATCACCTATCAAAGTAAAGAAAGGGCATTAACAGTGGGAAGTTCATGTTTATCTGCTATCCCATTCTAGCTTTCCCTTGAGTTTTTTTTTGGAGAGAGCTTACAGAGATATTTCCTTTTGATCTAAGGTTATTTCTTATGAAAGATCTACGTTTCCAGTCTTGTTTTGCTATTGGTAAGGAGCTCATACTTCAATATGCTTTGACATATTCAACTAGGATCTATTATCTCATTCTGGAACCATTAGATTTCAGTTTCAATCTTGTGCACTAAGAAGTTCTGTGTTGTTTGCATTTTGCATCCTTAATGTATGCATCATCTTAAGTTTTGCACTGTATCCTTTGTTTTTCACAATTTGTCTCTTTATGTATGCACCAGCTTTTGTTTAACATCCTATCCTTTGTTATTTTCATTATTAACCCCCTAAGATGTGCATTGCTATTTTATTATTTGTACTGGGTACTGAAAGAATATATGTTTCTTCTCCATATTCTCTTTCTACAGCATCTATAATTCCTTTTTCATGTAAAACAGATGTCCAACAACTCTAATTTTCCCACTACTTTTCATATTCAACTCACTAACTTTATCAGTTGTCTCGATTACCGTCGTATTCTCACTTGAAAATGACATTTGGTTTTCCGAGTCATTGATAAAGTTTTTACCTCTGTCAAAATTGATAAAGGTCCTTTTAGTCAAAGGTACTTTGTTTTGCCATTTAAGCAATCTCTAGATTGAGAACCCAATTTCTTAACATTTGATTGAATATATAGATAGTTAGGATTCATATAATTGACCCAACCTAGATATTTAGGCAATCCTTTGAAGATGAAGTCTTTAGCACAATCCTCCGCTATGTAGTCCTTGAAATGCATGTATTTGGATAATAAGGAGTTGGAGATGTTGTACGGAGAAAATAGATAAGTGTATACTGTTACAGCGTCACAGAGCCCTTGATGTTTACTATTCCAACCTACACATTCATAAAATGAAATGTTTTATAAGTTTGTGAGGGATAGGGTGCAAATTGATATGATGCATATTTAGGGGCACATCTTAATAAACAAAGGGGCGTATAAATTAAAAATGGTGCACAAAATAAGGCAAAATTAAAAGAGGATGGGGTGCAAAATGAAAAATGGTGCATACATTAAGGGTGCGAAATGAGAAGAACTCAAAAAGTGCCTCTAATAGGCCTAATTAGAGTACATGGATAACTAGATCATAACTCCAGGACTGGAGGCCACTTTGCTCCAGCACTGGATATGGATAACGTTTTCCTGAACTAATTCTGAGAAGTAATTTATAAGGAATGGACTAAGTAGGGGTATGTTTTTGCCAGTTTTTAGAGTGATGGTGATACAGTTCTAGGCGATGGTAAAGGTCAATTGAAGTCATTTTAGTTGCTTAAGCTATGCTTCAAAATGATACTATGCGAACTGGGTGTATCTATTACTTCAAAGTTGGTACCTCAGTTTTGGTGAGCTGCAGTTTGCAGTAGTAATGGTGTAGATTAGTAAACCATCAATTCATTTTCTGCAGGGTTAATACATGTCGGATTTGAGTCTTAGAGTAGTCAGTAGTGCAAGGACTGATTTAGATCCCTTCCCTCGTTTGTGTATATTTAAGGACATCTAATTCTCCAGTCTCCTAAACTTTTCCTATCAAAATAATCTTTTTATCTGACTAAATAAGAATAGTTTTCTATGCCAGTCTTTAGTGTCATTGATTCTCACAAAAGGAGTTCATACTTCAATTATATTGACAAATAACCAATGGATCATAAATTGAGTTGGTGTAGGGTCTTGAGTACAACTCGATCCTCCAACCTCCTCTCTTTTTTCTTTCATGGTTACCTTTTTTTTTCTTTTTCTAACCATATAATTCCAGGTTTTCTAACACTAGCAGTCTGTTCAGTTGAATGAAGGGTTTTATCGATTTCTTGGGTCAATTTCGTTCTTGCACGGTCATTTCTCTTTTGCATAATGTTTGCTGAAGTTGCAATTGTAACAGGGAACCTCTCCTCATTTGCTTTTGTATCCCTGCAGTAGGTACTGATATATTAACAAATTACCTTACCAAAAAAACAAGTTCTCTTTTGCATGATATTTGCATTCTGTTGTGGATTTGGGACTTCATCTGAATGATAAATTAAAATTTAATAGCTCAAGTCGTATGTGAGAAAGACAAGTATCAAATGAAGTGGTGCTGGAAGTTTAGGTATTGTCAACCTATGAACCACAATATGTGTACAGTATGGGTACAATTCGAAGATGATTTAAACAATTAGGGGATGTACCAGACACCATTGTTACCATAAAAAAAAAAGAATAAAGCAAATGGGAATTGGGATGCAATACGAATGGGATACAAAAAAATGTCTTCCAGTTTTCAGTATGGATTTGCTATCTAAAGACTGTTCTAAGAAGCATGAATAAGTATTTAAACCAAAGATTAGAACAGACACATTCATCAAGAACCCAGCTTTGTGAAATTGAGCCTCCTCCTCCTCCTCTTGCTGATGCTTCTTCCTCTTCTTGCTCAAGTGAGACGAAGAAGACCCCTTCCCTCTTATTTTCCTCTTAATTTTGGAATGGTTCTTCGCAGAGAAACATTGTTAATGATATAGAAACTGTAGACATATTAGAATCCTTATCATTTAGGGGTCATGTTCATTGTTGTTTGATAGAATAAAATTTTCATCTGAGGCAGTAGGAAGGTTATCGCTTTAGCACAAAGTTTCTCCTTATGTGTCCCTATAGTACCTGACATTGGCAAAGCAAAACTAACACTCGACTTTAACAAAATATAATATGCAGATTTTTTTGTTAACTGTGGTATTTGGGTCATCTTACGTGCACCTCGACTAATCCTACTGATATTTGCTACCTCTCACTAGTACATGTACCCAGTAACTCTATTCACCTGGGCTTAAATAGATAGGAAGAAATCATCCTGTGTTTTTCCCCCACTAGAATTTGAATTTGAGACCTCAGGTTCTCAACCCACTTCATTGAACTGGAACCTCAATGTTAGATGGCGGCTTGGCGCCACAAGTTGTCTGATGCACTCGTCTTCTTCCTTGGGAGAATGGATCGTGACAAGATCTGAAAGAGGTGTTGTTGGACTGTGCGTTCTTTTGGATCCCAATCAAGCACGGTTTCCCGATCTTGATGCCAAGTACTCCCTGTCTCAAGAGAACATTTCTTGCAGCAGAATCAGTATACACATTCACAGGTTGACCCGAAGATATCATGTAACCATCTTTGAACTTCATGGAGTTGGCACACGGAGTTCTCAATTTTCCACTGACAATCATGAATTAATCACCCCACTTTCCTTGGCTCCACTATCCATGATAAATCACAGGACACCATATATGCACTCAAAACGGCAAGACCACCTAGGAGCTTGTGTTGCATGCAGCTCTGTAGTGTTTTCCTCAGAATTGAATTTCTTTTGGACAATGTCAACTCCCTCCCTGATCCTCCTCCCCTTCTCACTTGTAAGCCGAGTATGAGTGGCTCTGACGATGACCTCAGTCCTTGTAGGAGTGATTCTAACCTCCACTCCAGAATATCCATTTTCTGCCAAGTCATGTGTTAACACTTAATTTAACTCCTCGAAGAACACACCATCTGCCACAAACTTCTTCTTTTTGCTCATTTGAGTAGCTCTCTTCGCCCTCTTCGGATGTTTGTAGTCATGTTGACTTTTGATTCTGTCATTACATTGTTAATGGTGTAGAGACCACCTAGGCTTAATAGATTTCTTATCATTTTAGGAGTCATGTTCACTTTTTAAGCTCTCATTACATTGTTAGTGGTGTAGAGACCACCTAGACTTATTAGACTTTTTATCATTTTAGCAGTCATGTTCACTTCTAAGCTTTTATTACCTACTTGGTACGGACTGATATAAAATTTACTTTACTGATCTCAGAAGGGAAAAAGAAGGAAAATAAAAAGAAGCAAAGATAAGAGTCTCTTGCATCCAATCCAACCCCTAAATTCCATTTGTTTAAGTTTTTATATTTCATTAGTTATTAGAATAACCCCATGTGTTCTTTTAAAATCGCATTCTGACCCCAAAAGTATCAATATTTTCCCTGCATGTATACACTTGTAGGATACTTGAATTCTAGATTTAGAGATTTGAGCATCCAGAAAAATAATAGGAAATTTCTGTGTACTTGCTGAGATCACATGTTCTGAGGGGCGGATTTACCTTATATCAAGCGGTGTCCGTCGAATTGTTTTTAATTATTGCACATATAAATAATATAAAAACTTATATAGGTAAATAAAATGACACCACTTGACAGTTAGACTGTCCCAGTTCTGGTCGAGTGCTTCGTTATCCTCGTTCAGGTTGGGAGATCGAGCCTCAACCACGATTATTGTTAAAAAAATTTGGACTTATGTTGCTGACTTCTTGTTAGAAAAATAAAGCACACACAGAAGGGATTCAAACCCTTGACATCTTGCTAGGTGAGTATAAACTAAACCACTGAAGTTCTCTTTGTGTAATTACCAAAAAATAGTTTAACATAAAGACGGTTTTCACCTATGATAAATACATTTCAAAAAGTGAAATTTTGTTGAGGTGAGTTGTAATACTGTACCTGAATTAAATTTTATTAATATAATATGAATTTTATTTCTTAAAAATGATGTCATTACGATAGTTTGTTCACTTTTGAAATGTCAGTTTGCTTCTGAAAAATTCTGTGTATGCCCTGGTTGGTGTATCATATATGATAGTTGATATTATATCCAGTACTAAGAGGCAGCTCAAATTTAACATGCACTTCATAGATTATATATCTTAGTTGTTGAATAATGGCCTTTATTCTGCTTATTGTCTCATATGCAGTATGACAAATCAAGTATCACCGAGCCTACTTGTGATGTGGTCATCTTGTTGTAGCACCAGTTGATGTTTTTGGTTTTAGCAGTTTTCTGTGTTTCTGTGATACTGTAAAAGTTTACTTCTGTTTGTAAATTCTTGAACACACCTCTTCATAATCTTTAGATTTTTGTTATTATGTGCACCATTTTCATGTAGGATGACCAGAAGGTAGTCATGAAGCGGAAAACAGAGCTTGGTGGAACTTTTTCAATAGCTAGCTGGATACTTTTTATTGGTCTTTTTGCTGCGTGAGTACATGATGTCTTCTATCTCTTTAATTTCTAGTGTTTCACTATTTCTTCCAAGTGTCTGGCCTGTTCTTGTCTAAAAATAAAAAAGAATCCAGCCTGTTTTTCTTCTGAATAGTATTTTCTTCTGCTGTTCTTTTTTTTCTTTACCTTCTATTCCATCTATAATAGACTCTTTATATATGCTTCCACAGTTTGCTATACCATATAATAGCGAAGAGAGCTATTGAGATGCACAATGTGAGAGCAACAAATGCACCTGATTTAGCTGCTTTTATAAACGATTTGGAGTTTAATATCACTACCATCTCAAGTATGAGCTGCTTACACTTACGTGGTCTTGGAACAGTAGTAACTGGGAATCCAGGGTTGATTGACTATCGATTTGCTCCTCTGTCAACATTTGCCAACTATTCCTGTATAAACACAACTAAGGGACCGACCATCATGCTTAAGTGCAGCAGATGTCCACTTAGCCGGGACAATGCCTATATTTCATGGCAATTTGTTGATCTCCCAAATAGTCCTGCAGCAGCTGCTGGATTTCAGTTCAATCTAACAGCAACAGATCCTAAAAATAAGAAACATGTTAGCTTGGTCAGTGGAACACTGAGAAATGGAAGCAATTTTGACGACAAACCAGTTACATTTAGAGGGCTGACACCAAATATATTGAAGTTCAATTTTTTCCCGAGATTGTACCATAATTTGAATGACCTGAAGCTCATCCAACCACTACTTCATGAGTTTCTTCCAGGTTCCTCATTTGATGAGATAAGTCAACTCCAAGCATCGCTCGAAAGCCCTAATGATGGTCTAATCAACACGACATTGTATATCAACTTCCTATCTTCGTATATTGTTGAGATCAAGGATCAAAATGTTATGGGACCTGGTGAGTAACATCTTCATCTCTCAGCACATTTTCTATTCTTTGTTGTCTTCTCTGGTTAGTGTTCAAACCTCATGACTTTTAAATTTTCATTCCGTCATATACTTAGACCTAGAATAATGCATGTACTGTGTAAACACCTTTAGCTATGAAGTTTGCAAATATCTTTCCAGTCATACTTTTGCGAGAGATTCTCTTGTTTCATCTTTTTGGTAAATAGCAACTTCAGTAAGAAATTATGAGTTTATGCTGGACCATACAATATGTTAATGATGTCTTGTCATTCTGAGGAGAATTCCTACATGTTCCCGAAATACATTTATACCAAATCTGACAGCTCTTCTTTTGTAACTCATTTTCTACATTTTTGTGTATGAACTGATCAACTACTTACAATTCCTTTTTAAGTTTGTTATTTGTCTTGAAAACTGATATAGGCGAAAGTTTTGTTACCTTTCAATAGGAAAAAAAGAAGAAGATCTAGGCGAGAGCCTTCAGCAGTATTGTGCTTTATAAGATGATTGATATGTATTTTCCTGAATTTCCTCATTCCCCTCTGTCTTCTTTTTGCCCTCATGTTTTCAACTTTGGGGAGAAAGGGATGGGGGAGAAGAGGAGAGTTCTGGAACTCAGTTAGTTGTTGATATCTAAATTTCTTCTATATGCGCATCTTATGCGGAACTAGGTATTTTGGTGTTCTGCAGCACCCACAGAGATGTTCACTCTCTGGTTATAGTCCTAGCTGATTGGTCCAGATCCTATGCCAATTTTTTAAATGCCAAAGTTGTCCCCTAGCATTTGTTTTCTACGTGATTCATGAGAAGTTTAGTTTCTCTGGCTAATACAGAGTGCATAATTAAGATTGTGCAACCTGTTAAGTGCGACTGGGTATGTTATTGTAGAAAAATAACAAAGATCAAGTTCCTTTAGTGGAAAGCCCCTGAAGACAATATGAGTACCATGCCTTGATGTTTGCTTGAAAGCAGTGCTCTTTCAAAACATTATAAGTTCACTGAGCAACTTGTCTGTAGAATCAGAGAGGCAAAATAAAACAAATTCCACTTAAGGCCCTACACTGCTATGTAGCAATGGCTGAATGGTGAAATCCCACAAGTGAGGTTTGGGGAGGGTCAAATGTATGCAGACCTTACCACTACCTCATGGAGGTAGAGAGGCTGTTTCCAAAAGACCCTCGGCTCAAGTGCAACAAATCCCAGTATAAAGAAGAAGACAATGAAGAGAAATTGAAACAAGAAACCGTGCAAAAGTAGTCAAAACAACAATAAAATCATGTGATAATTGAAATGCCATACACTATATACTAGGGTAGATTGACCCTTCGGGGTGGCCCAGTGGTTTGGGCTTGGGACTTCCATGTTGGAGGTCTCAAGTTCGAAACCCCTTGCCAGTGAAAGCAAGGGGTTTTGCCTTCTGGGTCGAGCTCGTCGCACCGGGCTTGCCTAGTGCGGGTTACCTCTCCTATGTGGTTTGCGAGCTATTGCATAGGAGCGGGGTTTTTACCCTGTGCGCACCCAAAGGGTAGCTGCTGCGGGTATCCCTTGTCATAAAAATAAAATAAAAATATACTAGGGTAGATTGTTATTAACAAACAATAATAAATAATGATAAACTTCAAAAAAAAACTAGAACTATAATAATACAACTAGAACCATAACAAACACAAGTCACCCTAAGTAAGACTACACTACACTACCTACTATCTTTCTACCCTAATACGAGTCCTCCACACCCTCCTATCTGGGGTTATGTCCTCGGTAACCTGAAGCTACGTCATATCTTGTCTTATCACCTCTCCCCAATACTTCTTCGTCCTACCTCTGCCTCTCCTCGTACTCTCTATAACCAACCTCTATCGCACCTTCTCACTGGTGTGTCTATGGAATCCTATTTTTTTGTTTGATATAGTTTTATGTGCTTCAAGCTAAGAGGAATTTAAGCTTTTAGTGTGGATGCAAAAATAATGAAGGTGGGGAAATGATAGGATAATCAACTGGAACGTTTACCTTATCTGAAAAAATAAAGGGGAAAAAGATAGGGTGATCAGATGAAGACTAGTGGGTGTTTGGATTGGCTTGTTTTAAGTACCTTTGGCTTTTTAAGCTCTTTTGTATTTTTGGAGGTATTTGGGAAACACAAAAAAATGCTTTTAAGCACTTTGTTTTAGGCTGAGAAAGTACAAAAAAAGCCAAAAGTTGGGTCTTTCCAACTCATGGCTTTTAGCTTTTAGCTTATAGCTACTTAAAAAAACCAATCCGAACATACTATTGCACTGTTGATTTGCAGGCTAAACTAGTTAAAAAGAAAATTGAACTTGCTAGTCTGATGCATCATTTCATACTTAAACTGTTGTCTAGGATATGACGCTGGACCACACTAATATAATACTCCTTCTGTCCCAATTTATATGATGCACGTTGACTGGCGAGTTTAAGAAAAAAGACTGACTTTTGAACCGTGTGTCTGAAATAAGCCATATATATTTTATGTGGCTACAAGGAGATAAGGGCAGATTGGGATGCCTAAAGTTAAATTGTGTTTCTAAACATAGAAAGATATCATTCTTTTTGGGATAGACTAAACGAGAAGTGCATCAAATAAATCGGGATTCAGGGAGTAAGAAAAGAAGTCTGATGTTTAGCTGTGCTTCAGAAATCTGGTGTGTATATTTAGTGTTTTAAGTGGTTTGTTTCATTTCAGAAGTATTTTTGGGCTATGTTTTGATGATATCTTCCTCTCCCAAGAGTGCAGTAAGCTTCCTTGCAGATGTTGGTGGCCTCTATTGCGTTAGTATTGGCCTCTTCTTCTACATTTTGGTGCAGGTACATTCATTTTTTCATTCTTTTTGTTACTACTTCTGTATTTTATGGATTTTCATTTGTAAGCTATGTTACATGGCATAACTTCATCTTACCGAGGACATGACTCTAGATAGGAAGGAGTTGAGGTTGCGTATTAGGGTAGAAGGTTAGAGGGGTACACTGTTTTCTTGCCTTGCGGAGGTTTAGGGTTGTTAGTGCCTGTCGTAATACTAGTCATACCCTTGTAGTTCTGGCCATGTGTTGTTTATTGTGTTTCGATTATCTCACTATTTTGTTCTTTCCGGTAGACTTTACAGCTGTGTTTCTTATTAACTGCTATGCTTTCTTCATTGTTTTCTTCTTCTTTTATTTGGGTTTGATGCGGTTGAGCTGAGGGTCTTACGGAAACAACCTCTCTACCTCCACGAGGTAGTGGTAAGGTCTGTGTACAGTCTACCCTTCCCAGACCCCAGTTGGTGGATATCACTGCGTATGTTGTTCAGTTGTTGTTACATGGACTTGTTTACGTGTGTGCATCCTGTACTGGGGTGTATGTTTACTACCCTGTAAAGTGCATTTTCTGTCAATTCTTAGTATATTATGAATAATCTGCATAAAGCACCCATACTCTTGTCACACCCATTCGACACAATAGTCTAGGCAAATGAAGTATCTGTGTAACATAGTTGTGTGGTTGAGAACAATGCGTTAAACCAAAAAGAGACTTCGTTAACAAGTTTTCTGTTGAAATATGCTGTAATAATAGTTGTTTGTAGTTTAGGTATTGATGGTAATGCACGGGGCTTCTCGAGTTAGGTATGTCCGCTTAAATCTTGGACATGGATCTCTTATGGTTTCTGCTTTTATGTGGTGGTAGGATTTACATTTTACAGCTACTCGATGTAGAAACTTACTGGAGCTTGATTTCTTGATAATTTCCATTCAGTTTTCTATGTTTGTGGAGGAAAGTGTCTTTCGGTATACCTCTCAAATCTGCTAACTGCTAATTTCTTTATGAAGCATCAACTAAGAAAAGAAAAACAAAGTTGGGCAAAGTGTTTTGTCTGACACTAATTTTTTGGGTATCATTTCTACTCCTAGCAACCAAAACGTTCAAGATTACGACATTTTGTTCCGAAATTGCATAGTTATTTACCTCTAGATTGGAATGTGGGTTAGGCATTAAGATTGATCTGGTGTCCTGAACTTAGTAGTGATGGAAGAAAGGAACTCTGAAGATACTTGAAATTGTAAAAACCAATGAAGTAAATTTAGAGTGTCTTCTTTTCATGGAAAATTTACTTATAATTGTGTGCAGGGTGTGATTGATCCTTATGTCTATACTTTCTTATTTTTGTTGATCCTCCTATGTTACAGTGTGAATATAGGATAAAGAAATTGCGCAATGAGGATAGTGTGATGCGAAAGGTTAGAAGTCGCCGAAGAGCTCAAGACCGCTGGGATAAAGTGAGTATATGGACAAAAAAATCAGTGTTGTCTTGCTGAACACAATCTTTTTAAGTTAGCTTTGCCAATTCAGCTGCCCTGTCTAACTTCCTTATCCCTTGCTTCCACTTTATTTTTCTGATAGTTGAGGAAATATGTGATGTACACGTACGCTCCTAACCAATTGGAAGAGGAGTATGACATGAGAAATGATGGTTGTTGCACAGGCGTCAAGATGGAATCACTCCAAAGAAAGAGCTCTTCAGTTAGAGGAAAAGGGTCTAGCAGATTAGATACCATCAGTTTTAGCAGAAGAGTTGGCTTACCTAGTGAGAAGGTGCAGCCTTGCAGCATCAATTCCTTTATATCAGTATGCTTACATCTACTGCTTATTTACAAATTTCATGGAGATCGTAAACTTTTGAAGTTTTGTTTGCCTTCCCAGAGAGCCATTCCAGAAAAGATTGATACTCAAAGTGCCACACATTTTTTGCCTGAACCTGCAGCAGATCTCCAAAAGAATACACATCTGAAGGAAAAAAGAGTCAGTTTCTATTTCTCTCTGATATTTTTGTTTCTTGAATTTGCTTAAATAATATTTGTATTTTGGGTACTGTCTAAACACGATCCCATTAACCTGTTCACATGATTGGTCCCATCATGCCCTCTCTTTTACCATGATTCAGACTTAACCCAATATAGCAAAACAGATATCTAAATGGTGTACATGGATGTTTTAGCTCTTCTATTTTTAACAATACCCCTTCTTGTTTTGATGTGAGGAAAAGACCAAGGGTGTCACAGCTACTTTCTCTGGTTTCATGATTTTTGCTGTTATATAAGAGGTACTAGAAATGAATGCTTTACTTTTTAGAACTTCCAAATATCTTTGCTTCGATTGGGAACTACCTGTTAGTAGGTAGTTTACTTTTTTTTTTGGGGGGGGGGGGGAGGCACATTTCTTTCCCTCTTCAGAAAGTGACCTTGGACTTGTAGAAGCATTTTGGGAGTTGAAAAGAGGAAAGGGAAGTCATAGTCCCGGCACAGTACAATATGGACAAGAGACCTCTAAATGGTGTTCCATTTTTGTGAAATTAGTGATTTAACGTGTAGCTTTTTCATCTTTCAAATGTTGCCTCATGGTTTTAGATCTTTTTATAGGTCACTTATATGTTACTATATTTTCCTGCTTTTGTTGTTAGTTCTTCCTCTACTTAACAATATACAGTTCTTTCTTCATATTCTGCTCTTATGATCAGTTTTAATCTTTTCTTGTTCCCTTATACAAACCGTAACTATGCTAATATGACTTAGTTTTCATGTCCACTTTGTTTATCTTCCCAAAGAACTGGCAACTTCACTTTGCTTTATCCGTAGAAAGCTGTTAGACTTACTTTATATTTATGTGACTTCAGTTCCAAGAAAATGCTGTACCTCCAAACACAAAAGGTAGTAAACCTGAAGACATAGTTGCTCCAGATGAAGAGAATGCTCTCCAGGCTCCAGCTTTTCCTGCAGCTAATGACGTAACTGTTCCGCCTCCTCCCCTGTTAAGTAAGTCTAGAATTACGAGATTAGTGTTTATTATGTTCTCCATCCTCCATGCCAACTAACAAGCTAACTGTTTAGATTTCATATATCCGATTTTAAGCTGCTCTTTCATGTCATGCTTCAGCCTATTTTATTCAAATTGCCCATGCTATCAAGATCATTATAGATTTGGTCAACCTTTCTGGGTTAAATGCTTTGTGACAAGCATAAGAAATTACAGGTCAAGTTTATGAGAGCTCACTATGGATGATATTGATCTCTTTGATTATGATAACGTATTTGAAGATTAGAAACCCCAATTATGTTGGTGACTCGTTACTTCTTGGTAGTTAGATATTTAAACCATTTTCTTGTTTGGAATTTTTTATGGAGATTCTTTGAATTCTATCCCTGTTTCTAGGAGTGTGGTTCGAAAATGTGGTGGTCTGTAGGAAACTTCTGCAACGATATGCTATGTCCTGTTTCTTTGTGTGGTGGTGGCCTTATAGATCTCAGCACCTCTGAGGTTTCAGGCTATATCGATTGTGAATGGAGTGATAGGCGATAAGTAAAATAGTGAATTATGGAGCTTGATAGTTATGTTCCCAAAGGGTAGCGGCTGCGGGTTTCCCTTGTCATCAAAAAAAAGAAAAAGAAATAGTGAATTATGGAGCTTGATAGTTGGTCTGGGTTTGGGTGTTTAGTTTTGCTATTAAGCTAATTGGAAGATCATAGCTTAGAGTGTCAACAAACTTTATGTCAATAAGCTATCCTTTCTGGTTTTATAACTTTCCAGTTGAGCAATCAACTATGCTACATGTGGGTAGTTCTTTTTTTTTAAAAACCAAATCAGAGCTGTAGTAAATATAACTGGAGACTGTTTCTGATTACTGAAACTTTTTGATGATGGAACTTCAGGATATTTGTTTCGAACTTTATTTATCGAGATGGCATATTATCTACTACACCATATGAACTAATGAAGTATTTATAAGGCTTCCATACATGTTGTCCCTTAGAAGCATCTCTCTTTACATAACCCCCTTTAATCTTTTTGAGAAAGTGTGGTGAGGTGTTTGCCTAAATTGATGTCACTGCTTTTGTTCTGCAGAATTGCAGGCTGCTGATCATGTAAGTATGACCAATCTCCAGAAAGATCTCCAAAACCTCTATGAATATAATATGATGCTCAGGGAAAAGTTGATTGCTGCCCAATCAATGCTTCATTCATTAGCCAGCAAGGAGTCAACTTTAGCAGCTGATAATGGCGATATTATTACTAGAGAATGATTATGCTCAATTAAGGTTGTAGGTGTGTGGATGAACAAAGGCAAGAAAATAGCTGCTACTTATCTGAACATTCAAAATTCTGTCTCTTGAATGTTTTGAGAGCTCTGGTGCAGATGTTGCTGACTTTGCTTTCTGTGGAGTAGCTGTTGATAGTACTTTGTTAGAACAAGTACTGAATGCAACACTCCAAGGTGATGAAGTACTGTCCTTTGTGCTGTACATTGCGGATTCAGATGCATTATCACCTGATGATCGTTGGAGTGGCTGAAGCCGATGTCTTCTGTTTGTTGTATAATTTTAGTGTGGAGTATTCTTTTGGGAGCAGGATTGTGTTCCTTAGTGAGTTAAACATCTGAATGTACATTATGTAGGATTAGGACAATGATTTAAGGAAATTCGATTATGATAGTAGTGTGCGTTGGATACAGTAATTATTAAGCCATATAAATCTACCCAAGACAGTTCTGCAGAAATGTATTTTGGTATTCCTTATTCTTGTTTCTCTTCAACTAGCAATTTACTCAATTTTGTTTTTTCAAGAGTGAGTGTGAGCACACGGTGATTAGAGCCAAGGGCTTCCTTGGCATGTCCACCAGCAGTGCCTTTGGCATGATAGGTAGGCAGCATATCTTGATCCATCGGTAGCAGAGCCACCGAGAGAATCGAGTGAATGACCTTAGCGATTGTTTTAGAAGTAGCACTTTGTTAGCCTAATGACTCAAAGTATAGTCGAAATCCATCCCTCTTTTTAAATATGATTATTAAGCAAGGGCACATTGTGCGGTAGTAGCCAGTTCCAGAGCAAGATTAAGATTACTTGGTTTTCACTTCTTTATGCGAAGATGGTTACTATTTAGAGAGTCAAATCATTATTTTTGATTATGGTTTTCTCGAAATCTTTTTTCTAAGGAGGGAGCAAGATGGTTCTTTTTGGAAGAAACAACCCTTTTGGAAGTTCCTCCCGTGTATGGCATAGAAGCTGTGCAGACAAACACTCTAGGAACTACTTTTGTTGGAAGAATTAATCTATGTAATATTGCCAACGTTGGCCATCAAATGGCATAACAATGTAATGGGTATATGCCAAAGCAATATCTCCTTACCCACACGGAATTAATAAAATAAAAATCCTTTAATTACTGAAAAAAAAAGCATATTAAATGCCTTGATCTCATACTCCAAGCCCCTCCACATAAATTAGACCATCGGAAATACTAGGCATAATACATAAACATGACCCTTAACTTTGCTTCAGACAACTTTGTCCTCCAACTTTGAGTGTGCACAAGTAGGTTGTAACATTCCGAAAATTTCTAAGTAAAGACTCGAACCATCCTTCATTTGTAAATAAGATTGTACCGAGTGATTCTAAATTTTCTTAGGTGTTAAGGTCACTAGATGTAACACCTATGACTTCGAAAAGAGCTAAAGAGAGGTTCGTACAAGTCACCCATCAGTTTATCGTTTTGTGTCAACTTCAAACGATCAAGATATTTTAGCACATAAAGAATTAGGTGGCCCATGACCTATCAAATTGAAGGTCTTGAGTCCTCTTTCCAACGCTGCCAAGTTTGCTTAATTTCAAGCTTGAGGTAAGAAGTTATGTCCATTTGAGTGAAACCTCTCTAGTTAAGGCATCTCATTCATTTTAGAAGGGTAGTTTGGTCTTTTCATTTTCCTACTAAGCCTAGCCATGTTTTTCCTCACCCAATTAAGGGTCTAATCAGATGCTAAACCACCTTTACATGTTCCTAAACACTTAGAGAAATTAGAGAGAGGTTTCAAGAGGAAAGAAGCTAGGTTTTCAAGCGTTCTTCATGATTTGTTGATTTTCACCAAGAACATTGTTTTTTGCAGGTATGTAAGACTTCTCACAGTGTTAAACTTGTTCGTCCTCATGCCATACATCTAATCTATCCTTGAAATCGTTGTATCTAAAGGGTTCTTGCATAGTTCTTGATTTTAGTTCAATTCTTTAACAATGGAGGTTGTGAATTCTTTTGTATTGAGAATCTTTGGTAAAAGTTATATTCCAAAGGGATTGTATGGAGTTCCTCATGTATTTGTGTTGGGTTTGAGAATCATGAAGAGTTTAGGAGAATTTTCCCCATTCTAAACGAGTTGGGACCCTAATTTAAGCTTGAAAATTTGCCGGGTTGCTGGGGAGGGGCCTGGGGCGGCGCACCATGATAGCGCCAAGGCCTGACTTCAATAATTCAGGCCCTGGGGCGACGCACTAGCAATACACCAAGGAGTACTAGGCCAATTCTTTTCTTTGTTTCATCCGGCGCATGTTCCTTTAAGTTGTCGCTATGTTTCCCTTCCTTGTATTAGCTCCTAAAGGCTCCATTTACCTGTGAGAATTCCTACATGTTCTAATCACATGTCTTAATGCACATTCAAAACAAAAGTGAATTTAAGAGAAAAGTTCAAAAGCTTTTGTTGAGTTGATTTTGAGGTCTTGAGTTCCTGATTCTTTTTGAAACTCTATTCCTAATTATTGAATTTCTACATGTTATGTATTGAGATCCTTGAGTTGATTCATTCATGTCTATATTTTAGCATGAACCCTATTTGAGTTATAAATCTTGAGAATCTTTTAAAGCTAATATTTGTGTTTTGAATTGAGTTTTTGAGGAAAGTTTTAAGAGGCATTTTGAGTAAAGTTTAAGGGAACTAAGTATTTCCAAATGTATCATTTTTACATTGAGAAAAGAGAAACTTTGATTTCTAAAAAGAGTTTATGAGTTCAAAGATATTTCAGAGTAGTTACCTCTTTTAAGAGGATAGTTTAAGCAATTATCTCAAATCAGAGAAAGAGTATGTTTTACACATTTGAGCATGAATATATATTATTGGGAGTAGTATTGAGCATTGATATGGGGATGAGTTCAGACAACTCACACTCCTCATAAACCATGTAGACAACATGGTTAAATGATCATACTTTTTAGACGACTCTTTATTGCTTTCGAGCATAGCTTAGTGGATCCACTTAGTTGAGGTGTTCTATACCCTGACGGGGTATTGGACAATTCTGGCAGTGTGGGCGAGACGTTGTATCATCACATAGCTCATAGTGATAGTTGTCGGTTAGAGAATCTCTCAAATAAGAGTAAAGAGTAATTTATTTTATTTTTATATACATCCTTGAGTTAATATCTTCTATTTATGAATCTTTAAACATAGAGTTAGAGTATACTTTAACTAGAAGGGAGTTTATGTCGATATGCCATCGTGTTAGTGAAGACTAAGTATATGTGTCGAATAGAAGAACAAATTATTCATGAGGTGATAGATCTATGCCAGACTTATGATTTTTGGGAGATCCCATGATATTCAGAGGGTTATAGAACTAGTTAGCCAATGATGTGTAGTGTGTAGGTTAGTTAGGTTGTGAAAATGACTGTGATAGTGATTTATAAATAGGTAGACTGAGAGATAAAGAGTGACTAATTGTCATGAGATCTTAGTGGACGAGTGTTTCTTAATTTTATCTAATAGTTGTACGTTAGTAGAGTAAGAGAGCAATTATATTGATATCCGTGTTTAGTAATAAATACTAAGCTTGAATTTGGCATGATTGTCGTGAGCAAAAGGATGTCAACATGAGGGTGATGATGTTAGTTTTGAGATCTGATATGATAGACTTGATATAGAGTAGGTGAGAAATTAAGATGTTAGCTGCAATGAATGTGAGTAGTACAAGTGTGAGATTCTGACTTTAAGATGAGAACAATAAAGTGAGGCTAAGTCATTAGAGTAAAAAGAGAACTAAGAGGTGTACCCGAGATCTTATGTAGTCAGACGAGGTTCCAATTGAGTTATTATTTTTCATGTGTGCCTAGATAGTGTATTTGAGTTGTCAATATGGAATATGCTGATGTAAGCATTAATTTTTTCCCTTAAGAGTTAGATTAAGCAACTTTATAAGTCTATGCTAGTAACGATTATAGAAAGACTTCTATAGAAGCAGAAAAACATTAAGAGAAAAAACTGTGAAAGAAGTCCTAGAAGGAATCTTAGTGTCTGCGCATGGAGAGTTCAGTAGCCATGAGATAAGACTTTCTCGAGTATTAGAGTAAAGCGAATGTAGACCAATTTAGAAATGATGGAATAGATCCATAGCTTTAAAGTGTCAGCTTCAAAGCCAAGGGGGAGATGATAAGATGAGAAACCAAGTCAAGTGTTGAGAAAGTGATATATCGATCCATTCATACTCTAGCATATTTGTTAAAGTTCAGTAATTCCTATATCTTATGTTGATGTCTCTTATATCTGAATTGTGTTCATAACCTATGCTCATAAACTTAAGAGTGATTCAAATCCATGCTCAGTTTCCAGAATGAGGGCAAAGACTTTATCCCATTGATCTCAATCTTACTCCATAAAGTTATGGATATCATCCTTATGATATGAACCTATTCATATAAGCATTCATGTCTCATAGTATGCTCAGTCTCAAAAAATTCATGATTTGATCTTAATGGCTAGCAAAATAATGTTATGTTATGCATATTTTATATCAGAACTCTCGAATGAATCAGGCTTATGATATTTTGCCCTAAATATCTTTCAAGTGATCATTTTTAGTTAGAGAGTGATGTTGTTGATAGTAGTTAAGTGATAATAGAAGGAGAAGGTTGATGTTTCTTATGTTGGTAGACATAGTGTGCTTATTCTATCTAAAGTAATAAAAGTGGAGGAAAGATGAATGGAGTCTTACTATGAGAAATAGTTAAATAAGAGCAATTAGTTGGTTCCTGGTAATAATGCGTGAATTTTCAGTTGGTAGATATGATAAGAGAATGAGACATTCTTAGAAGGATTGGTTAGTAAAAGTTCATAGAGTGGTTATAGTACTAGGCATGAATGTGGGTGGTGTTGTTAACATGTAGACAAATGCATGATGTATTGGGTGTTTCTTGATATGGGTTCAAGGTTGGTTGAATGTGGTTATAAGGAGAAGTACTCTTGGGATGAGATTACCTATAGAGGTATAAAACCTGAATCTTGTGGTTTCGATTAGTATAAAAATCTCATGTTTAACATTTTGTGAATTAGAGACTAAGCTTGAACACATTAAGAGCAGACAATTTAACTTAGACCTTGGTAAGGGTAGTCACGAACCCTTGTAGGAGTTATGAGATGTAGCTAATGAGGACTCATATCACTCAAGGCATAATATTCCTATTCTTACTTCATGCGCATATATCTTTGTTTTATGTCAAATAGCTTTCGATGGAGCGTGACTATGTTCAAAACAATATTGTTCTTGACTTATATGCTATACACAGTTCCATTCTCAGTCCAACCGTCATTCGAGGACGAATGATCCCAAGGGGGGATATTGTAACATCCCAAAAACTTCTAAGTTAAGACTCAAATCATTCTTCATTTGTGAATAAGATTGTACCGAGTGTTTTTAAATTTTCATAGGTGTTAAGGTCACTAGATGTAACACCTCAGACTTTGAAAAGAGCTAAAGAGAG